GATTAAAGGAAAATTACAATCACTCCCACCACTAAAACTCACATAATTTATCTGATTTCAGAAAAATAAAATAACCAATTACGGTATTTCTGACAGCCATACTTCACCAGTTAAGGAATGTGTGTAAGATGGGAAGAGACATGAAGGCTGAGAAGGGTTTATGGTGCCTTGATTGATCATGAAATGAAGATTCCCCAAAAACATTTTAAATTGTCCTTTTGTTTGTCATCCTGGAGGGTTTTTCCCCCTAGATGAGGGATATACCATTCTTTTGTAAAGTGAGAGAACTATTGCAAATGCAGAAATGGAAAAGAACCTAGATGATGCTAAGAAATAGTACTTATGGGGGCCGGCCCGGTGGCGCACTGCTACAGTGCGCCGCTTGGGAAGCGCGGCAGCACTCCCGCCGAGGGTTCGGATCCCACATACAGACCGGCCGCTCACTGGCTGAGCGAGGTGCGGGAGCAACACCGAGGGTTGCGATCCCGTTGCTGGTCCCGGTCCGGTATGGGCGCGACACTGAGGGTTGCGATCCGTTGCCGGTCACGAAAAAGACAAAAAAGGAAAAAAAAAAAAAAAGAAATAGTACTTATGGGAAAAGGGGATCTGTAAATTGATTAACTTCAAGCAATAAGTATACCCCGCCCCTTGGACTATGCCACAGAATAAGAACTTGAAGTTGATATGAGCTTTAATTATTGCTCTGCTTAATGGCAAGAAACATTTGCCAAAGTATGACGAATAATGAAATAATATAGCAGAGGCTTTCCATTTTACTACAACCTACAGTAAGGAGTATATTTTACATTATGATCCTGTTGGAATGAACAGAACAGAAGCCATGTTGGGACTTAAAGCCACATGGGCTTTAGGCAAATTTTTTAAAGACACAGTTTTTTTCTTGGCACGCATTTCTCTGAGTTCCCTCTTGTCCTAAGGTTATTTGATATTTTGAACCTTGGCTATGGGGCAAGAAGACATTTTTGACATGAATGTAAAGTTGTTTTCCAGGCAGCCTGAAGCTGCAGAATCACACATACAACACAGACCCTGAGATAACAGCAAAGATGGGAGCAGAAACCAGACAGAGTCTTAGTAAGACTTTGCACCTGAGACCTTGCGCGAAGCCCTCGCTGCTCATGTGCCCCTCCCTCCTGCTTTTCATTTCCCACATTCCATTCCCTCATCCCCCTCTTTTAAAACTCCCCAGTAAACCTGAGTCTTTGAGATGGCTTTAGCCTGGCCACTCTCCTTCAGGTTTACTGGAGAAATGGGTTAGCCAAACATCTCTCCTCAGGTCACTGGTATTGCTGAATAAAAGCTGACTTCCATTTTCACCAATATTTGACTTTTTTTTTTTTTTCTTTCTGTCTTTTTTACTGACCGGTAACGGGATTGCAACCCTCGGTGTCGCGCCCGTACCGGGGACCGGCAACGGGATCGCAACCCTCGGTGTTGCACCCGCACCGCGCTCAGCCAGTGAGCGGGAACTGGTCTCCACATGGGATCCGAACCCTCGGCGAGAGCGCTGCCACGCTCCCAAGCAGCGCACCCTCCAGTGCGCCACCGGGCCAGCCCAATATTTGACTTTTGGATTGTTTTTTGTCTGGGGGCAGGCAGCCGGAATTGTGAGTTACATATCAAATTTTGGGGAGCCTCAGCCAGGAGCTGAGTGTGCTCTGTAACAATGTGACAGACACGCATATTGTTTCATGAAACAATAATTAACCCTACTACATGTGATGCACTCTGATACTTCTTTTTCTAATGTCTTCCTTTTAATGCTGGTTTCAACCCACTAAATTGATTTCACAACTAATGATTCACAGCCCACAACTGGAAAACTGTAGGAAATAGAAATATATAAGGTAATATCTGATTATAAAGCAATCTGTGATTACAGGAAGTGTTCTTAAAGAAGCATTAGCAGTGAGCCAAGGTCTGTGAAGTCAATTTACATACAAGGTTAAATTTTATTCTATTAGTATTTTCACCCCTAATATTCCAACTTTACTATTGGTCAGTAACAGTCTCTGATTGTTCAACTTCCTGGGCTTCCTGCTTCCAACCTTGTGGTAGGCTGAAAAATGTTTCCCAAAGATATCAGACCCTAATCCTTGGAATATGTAAATGTTACCATATATGGGAAAGGGCTTTTGAAGATGTGGTTAAATTAAGGATCTTGAGATGGAGAGAGTATCTTGAATTATCCAGGTGGACCCTAAATGCAGTTACATCTATCCTCATGAGAGGAAGGCAGTGGGAGATCTGACACACATAGAGAAGGCAAAATGAAGAGGGCACAGAGAGATATTTGAAGATGTTGGCCTCGAAGATTGAAGTGGTGAGACCACAAGCTAACGAATGCCAGCAGCCACCACAAGCAGGAAGAGTCAAAGAATTGATTCTCTCCTAGAATCTGGAGGGAGTGGAGTCCTGTCAACATCTTCATTTTGGCCCAGTGGTAGTGATCTTGGACTTATGGCCTCCAGAATGGTGAGAGAATAAATTTCTGTCATATTGCAAAAGAAGTCTCCTTGTCTATATGATTCGGTGGCCATTAGATAAAAACAAGCCAGCTCTACAGAAACACAAAAATCAACTTTCTCTCTTTATAATCTCTTCATAACAGGATATAATTTAGAACTTTGTTATAAGATAGCATGTATCCTCTAAGTTGCTGACCCCCCTCCATGTTGCCATAATTTGGCCTAAATGCTGCTTCATCTTGCCATTTCATCTTTCCCCCCTAACATGGGACAGGGCCACCCAGGAATGAGCCTTCTCAGCACCAAGGGATTTATACAAAGAAAAGTAAGACCTTTTCAATCAAAATATTGATCATCAATGCTTTCATGAGGAATGCTTTGATCATAAAGGGGGAAATAATATCTTGTCTACAAAAGCAGTTCTCTAAATTTTCCTGGCCTTAAAGAGGGTGTTTGTAACTTGAATAAGATATCCTGTTCCTAAATAAAAGATTTATAATTAATCAAAAAATCTTACAAAGACTAGATGCTTTGAAAGCAGTGATGTCCTGGATGGGTGAACATCAACAAACTCTCTGGACTCAAAATCAACTATTATATGTAACAGAATCCCACTCCAGAGTTTCAACAACTGGTGATTACACCCCAATTCACAGCATCTGGAATGATGCTGATGCAACAGCTCTGAGACAATGACATCATCAGTCCTCACCTGAAGTAAATTAAAAGCACTTGCCATGCTAAATGATACTAACTTTGCTTTAACAAAATGCCTTTGTCTTAACTGTGAAAACCTGATCTATAGCTTTTGCTTTTTCTTTTAATTAAATAAATAAAGTGGGAAAGATGTGGAGTATACTATAAAGCAAATGTATTACACAGGGCCTCCAAAGCCCTGTAGTCTCAGGTTTAGCCTAACCTTTTGAAATTACATATAAAAATGTTAACCTTGCAAAAGTCAGGAAATTTTCCCCAGGCTAAAGTCTCTGTTGTAAGATAAGGAATTGTAACACAGCAAGGTTGCTGGCTGAAGGACAGACGTTACTTGATTGATATGTAAAAATGCTGGGGAAGCTACTGTAGGGAAAGAGAATGTTTGCTAAGATCAAGCTTTTGCTGGTGGATTGACTTAACCTTTTGTGAATTGCATTATGGAATGTCACTTTGTTATCTCACTGATGTTACCAGCCTATATTGTTAAAACTATATCTGGCCATAACCCCACCTAAGTTCTTTTCCTGTAACTTGCTGGTCTGGAGAATAAATGCAGGGCAAGAACCCCAGTTCGTGGTTAATTTCCAAAAGGAAGCAATGCCTCTCTCTTGAGGGTTCTGGGAAATTAACCCCTTCGGGGTCTCTCACTGCTCAAAAGAAATGGGCTTTGAGTAATCCTTTTTGTGGCTCCGTCACCCAAGGGAAGAGAGGTGACAAATCCGTGTGAGGCAAAGCAACAAAATTCTACGAGAGGGAAGAGGGTGCCAGTAGAATACCCCCTAGGCATACAACTCACTGTTGATTTGCCTTAGTTCTAGAGTATATTTCAGAGTATTTATGAAAGGCCTTGAATAATGCTCAGAAAATAAGGACTGTTTTCTCAGCCAAACTATCAAATATTCAATAAGTGCTCCATACAATGCCTATGGGATGTGGCTTGCTTGAAAGCAGATCTACTAAGGAGTGAAATACCTGTACCGTTTCTGCTATCTGCCAAGAGCGGTCTAGATAACCACTGAGGAAACAGATAAATGTCCCATTCATACTCTGTGAAGAAGCCTCTGAGCCAATGGGGAAAGAGACACAGAGCACTCCAAATAGAGCCCCTAACCCAATCAAGGGGCGGGTATCAAGGACGGCCTCCTGCAGGTGATCCTCATTTATTATTAGAAGATGAGTAGACATATGGAAGAGGAGCGGAATGGCAACCCGGGTGGGTTAGAAAGACTCTTCGGCCCCTAGAATCAAGTCATGCCCTTCGAACACGTAACGTCTAGGCTGGATGAAAAGAAAAAGAAAAGACACAGGACAAGGAGGAAGAAAAAAAGAAAACGCATTTCATCCTCCCACAAGGCACACGCATCGCCAATGCTTCAGAGTTCTTGGAGGCAGCTCTGTAGCCATTCCTGGCAAAATAAAGCTACCGAAGGCTGCTGGACTTCCTAGAAAGCCACTCCCCCGTCACTGCGCAGGAGCCGGGTATTACCTCCAAGGCCTCCGAGAGCGAGCTAGTAATCCCGGATCTTTCACCAGGGCTCCGCTCTAGCCGCCAAGCTTCCGTTCTCTACTGCTCTCCGAGGTCGTTGCCGGCCGGAGCTTGGGCGGCCAGGGGGCGGGCCTTCCGGAACAGGGGTGCGCGGGGAGGAAGGTCAGGTGCAGGTAAGGCTGTCGGTGGCTTTGGGGGAGTTCTGCGGCGACACGGGGCGATGGCTGTTAGGAGGTCCTGCGAGAGCTTCCAACCTGGCGGAGTCGCCAAGCATAGGGCGAGTCCATTTCATTAGTGAGCAGCTCGGGGGTCTCACGTGTGTCACATAAACAACTGGGCCTTTTCCTGCGTCAGTCGGGGAATTTACCAAACCGAGGACGCTGGCGTCTCTGCTGCCGCAGTTTCCTTTCCGGCGCAGTTACTCTTTTCCAGAGCAGTTAGCAGTACAAGGCTCAGTTTCTCTGCTCACCGGACGGCCTTCTGCACGGTAACTTTGGGGGGGGGGGGTGCAGATTAATTTTGTTATCGGTGTAAAGAAAAATACAGTAAGGTGATATTTAAGAAAAATACCGCGTAACGTCCTACCGATTCAAACGTCGGTTGAGTTTACACTACGACTCGCATCACAGGTTGGAGTGATCGAGTCAGACGGAGGGGGCTGAGGATTGTTCTTTCTGAACTGAATAAAGCTAACATATGTTCATTGCCATTCATGCTTCTACGACTCAGTAAAGTAATCAGTACTGGGCTTTAAAAGTAACAAAGCGTTCTGTTCGGACTGATTTTCTGTGACAGCACAGTGTGTGAGCTCTTTGGGTCCTGATGATTAGGGCAGGCTTTGTACCATGAGTTTCTTATGTCAGCCTTACAATTCAGTGAGGTTGTATGACTATCCTCATTTAGTAGCTGAGAAAACCGAGGCAGAGAATAAGTACTGTCCTACAAATCGACATGGTCATTAAAAGGCCAAGGCAAGATTCCAGCTAGCTTTTCTACTGCGAAGCTGGTGCTCTCTGTTAACCGGTGATTTATGAGAAACTGGAGAAACAGTTTTAATAGTTCCATGGGATTCAAAATGATGAATCATATCCAGGTTAAGAACTTCCTGCACTTCATCTTCGCCTTTCAAAGAGAAAAGGCAGACCTAATCCAAAGCCAATTATTGACGTAAACTCGACCTTTGAAATGCATCAAACCCATCAGAAAGATCAAAGAACTTGCCCTTTTATGAGAGTAAAAATATGGGAATTTTCTTCTTGTGTGGGTTTAATTTGATTTGTTTGGCACATTTGAGTAATTATTTTTTTGCTTAGTATTTTATTTTATTTTATTTATTTATTTATTTATTTATTTATTTATTTATTTATTTTTTT